AGAAATGTGAACATGTGAACTGATGTTTGACTCCTGTCATGATAAATTCTTGCACTTAAAACTGCCCCCTCCATGGCCTGTGCAACAGTATTGAAAAATCATCACAGCGATAGACTCGACTCTCTGTGGTGAGTCTAACCATGTGCAGAACTACTGATTTGGTTGAAGTTGTAATAGTTATTCCATGAAAACTATTGTCCCTCGTTGACAGTCTCGCCTCTCCTGATTTCCACTATCTCTCCAATCTAGGACCAGCTCTAATAGGGAACGGTCAACGGAATTGTCCAGTCGTCGCGCCGCCGCGCGCGGCCACTTGGGCGGCGTCGCGACGCGACATTTTTCCGAGGGGCGCGGGATTTTTTGGATTTGACGGTAGGAGCAGCGAATTTCCTGCAGTCCACAATGTTCTCTCTGGGGCGTGGATACCAAATTCCAAGCTCCCATGCTCTGGCTTTCTCTTAGAAAGTGGCGTGAACAAAATTGTTTCCGATTTCATAATAGTAATATTGAAAAACATAAAAAGAAAAAAGTTTGATAGGAGTGAAACTATGCGCGCATTGACAGAAGTTGAATATTAAAGGGACGGGTTTAGAGCGTTCCTCTGGCATTCAGTTAGAATGAGGCACACATGTGGTGCGCTCTGTGTGTGTGCGGTTGGTATCCTGCATGTCGGCACAGCCAAAAGCTTGCATTCAAGTGACTGGGAAGTACATGGGAGGCGATTCGGGGCCGCCTCCAAAAATAAGCCCCTTGTTCCGCTCCAGGATAGCGTGGCTAACTACCTGGAGGTCTATCCTAGCCCACACGACAGAGCCTGGCAAGCTACTCGTGTGCCTTCAATATGCCGAAAACAGCAATATGGATGGGCCTCATTCCCCTGAACCTGAGGGAGCCCCCAATACGGCAGCGTTGGGTAGGACCGCTCGGGAGAGGCTGCTAGAATCTCAGGGCCCGGATAGGCTGCCTAAACGAAGAAGGACTAAGATGGCGATCTGTACTTTCAACGCACGAACGCTTGCATCCGAAGCTCACATCGAAGATCTGATGATGCAGGCCAGGAAGATCAAGTACGACGTCATCGGACTGACCGAGACGAGAAGGCACCGCCCGCTACACGCCGTTTTCGATACTGGAGAAGAACTGTTCCTTGGAACATGCGACAGCAGAGGCGTTGGCGGTGTGGGTGTCCTCGTCAACACGCACTTGGCCATAAACATCGATTCGTACGAAAGCCTTACGACCCGAATCGGACGTTTGAGATTGAGAAGATGTGGTTCAACTCCTGCTTTGACAATCTTCGTCGCCTACGCACCAACATCCAGCTACGACGAGGAGGAACACGAAGCATTTTATATGGAATTGGAGAAGTTCTACAAGGAAGATCATACCTTCTTCAAGGTCATCGTCGGCGACTTCAACGCCAAGATTGGCCCGAGAAGAACGGCTGAAGAACTTCACATCGGTACTCATGAATACAGCAGATAATAGTAAGTATGAAGGTATGCACTGAGCCGGTTTAGCTTCACACGCTACCACGCACATAACACGGTGATCTTTGTTGGTACTGAACTGTCTGTGAGACATTGGGGCCCACTGCTGAAGAATGCAACACCGTTAAGTTAGATTAAGAGACGCCTTAGCCGACCGTTCCATAGCCTCCCCTGTTTCGCTAAAGCTTATGCGCGATAGAGGGTAGAGCTAAATTGTGAACAGCCACCATACGTTGAATGTCAGGGTAATTCAGCAGTCTCACCATATTTGATGCTAATAATCCCTATCCCTACTATTCCTATCCCTACTATATACAAAGCGCTGTATCTGCCTGTGTATGCGTGTGTACGTGTGTCACGGAATCCATTGCGCGCGAACCAGCAGTCGTCAGGTGTCGTCGTCAACATCGAAATATTTTTACCGCTAGCCTCTCTAATCTTCACAAGCAGGTCATGTTCATGGAAGCATGATATGAGGTTTGGTGTTTCTATTGCAATATGATCGCCACCAGAAGTTAATTCAACCGCTAAACTTCCCAGCATCCGAACCATGGTAGTTGTTTTCGTTAAGTGGCTGACAGTGAGCAGCCAAGTAGTTGTGTCAGTGAGCCAGAGCTTATTTGGCCGCTAGAAAGTGTCAGTTTCTGAAAATGATGGATGTTTATGAGTACTGACGAGCTAGAGGAAATGGCTTAATCATTTCAATCAAAAGCAATGGAAGAATGCATGTTACCTAATACAAGAGCTCGGTTGTGCTCAATTCCACTATGTTCTTCGGTCCTGCACCAATTATGTTCCCTTCAAACCCTCTACCTCACTTGATGAAGCAAATGTCCCACTGATGCTGGGACACCCCCTATTAATTTCATTATACCTACGCTCTAGCGCCCCTTACCAGCCCTTATCAGCCGTTATGACTTTCTGTCTCCCTCCGTCTCTGGTAGAACCGAGACCTAACTGCTGCTGGGTACGCGATACGAATTCCGTGGAACTTGCGCTTCAGCAGTTATCACTTGCCTCCCCGACCGTGAATACCCTACCTCACCTTCTACGTCATACTCAAAATACAGTGTTCCATCGCTGCAGGGAAGCGCGCTATGAATTTCGCGACAAACGGACGCACGCACACAGTCACTTGGCGAATCACATTTATTATATATTCGCGCTAGTGCTCACGTGGTATAAAAGATGGCGTTGTATACTCTTATTTGCACATTTTTGGAGGGGGTCTGCTGTCCGATTCTATACCAAGCTCAGCTCTAAATTTTGGGTTTCTATCAACACGGCGTCAAATGGCGTCAAATCTAAGGTAGATGCCATATTCATGAACATACGAAGGCTATTTGGTGAAAGAGCCGTGTACCCATCTTCTGTCCTCTTTTGGCAATTCTGAGGACTAATAACCTTGCCTTTTCACCATCACCCAATTGGATGCTGCCACTGTCTTTCTGGAGTAGGACTCCAAAGTGAGCATACTTGATATTTTGACGAAAACAGGGGTTTCTTGCTCTGCGACTATGTTTCTACCTATGTTAAGGTTTTCTCTATGGAATGAATACAAGAAGCCTGAAAATGAATCACGTGTGCGAGAAAAAAATGAATGCATGGGTGCAGGACACATACGTCCCGCGTTGTCCGTCATGGCCTGCAAAGTGCGGGACGTATGTGTCCTGCGCTGTCGTCAACGTGTTAAAACACATTCCGCATTGTGCTATTATTCATTTCTTCGGATACTGTCCAATGCAATAAGGCGTTTCAAACCAAACTCAGCAACAAATCGAATTGTTCTACTTCCTTTTTGACCTTGAGAGGGCTGTTTGGCAGAAATAAAGCACTTCTCTGCGTTTCATGAATATGCTCCTACAACATGTAAAGAGCGGTCTTGGAAAAACGCAACATGGTCTCGAGCACCTCTTTCCATTGTGAGCTCTAGGCGAGTCGGAATTCCTAGACACTGCAAAACTGAAATATATATCCTTCTATTATATACCCGCTAACTTACGGTTAGTGTGCCGGTTTTATGTCTGTGTGTATGCCTGTCCGTCTGCAAAATGAAGTGGGTGAAATGGTGCTGCTGTGGCAGCTGGAGAGCAATGGAGGGAGGAAGGGTAGACAAGCACAGAAGAAGGAAAGCAAAGCTCACGCAGGGAAGGGGGGGGGTTACGGAGGTTGCCAGGGAACCAATCTGATAAACCAAACAAAATAAACCACAACTTTCGAGTGTCGGTTTGTCGGTGTGTGTGTGTGTCGTTCTGTCCGTCCGGACCAACCGCTAACAAAACCGGGGAGTACGAAGGGCAACACTTCGATGTTGATGTCATGATCATGATAACACCCACAGCGGCTATATAAACACCGATCGAGCACACTCAGTCTCATTCTACATGGTGCTGCCGTGGCAGCGGATGGGGGGGAAGGGAGGGGGAGGGGAAGGGGGAGGGGAGGGAAGGGAAGGGAAGGGGGGGAAGGAGGGAGGGGGAGAGGGAGAAAGAGGGAGGGAAAGAGGGGAGAGGAGAAAGGGAGGGAGGATATGGTGCTGCCGTGGCAGCCGGAGGAGCAAGAGGGAGGGTAGAGGAGGGGGGGGGAAGGTGGGTGGGAGAGGAGGCAGGGAGGGAGAACAACCGCTACTATCTCATTCTATCATGTATTGTACACACCTGGAAGGACTACAGCGGAAGACTTAAAGCTTACGCAGGAAACAATGTCCCGGCGGTTGACGGCGAGCCAATCTGGTCCCTACTATATATAAATAAAACGCTATGTCTGTCTGTTTGTGCGTGTGTGTGCGTGTGTCACGAAATTCATAGCACGCGTCGCAGCAGTCGTTAGGAGCTGATTTTTTGATATGATATAGGGGTGGGACGGGAACATATTTGGTGGGGGTCACAAAGTGATAACGACTGATAAGAGCAGATAAGAGGCGCTGAAAACAAATTTCACGAAATTCATAGTGCGCTTCGCAGCAGTCGTCAGGAGCTGATTTTGGGACATGATATAGGGGGTGGGACGGAACATATTTGGTGGGGTCAAAAAGTGATAACGACTGATGAGGACTGATAGTAACGATATGCGTACGAACGTAGAGATCTCGAAACCAGATTGTAGATAATGCATTTCATTTCAATATCATTTCATTAGCGTTGTAATTGTAAACTCAAACACCTTTCGACCGCTACACCTTCTAGAGTTCTTGAGGATGAATGGGATGCTCGAATAAATATGATAATGAATACTGGGCATTCCGTTTTGAGATATTCGACCGCTAAATTACCTCGATACTCGACGCATAGTGGTTGTTTACATCATCACTTTAGCTGTGCACTTCACTGCGCTTATCAAACAGTGAGATACAGCCAAGATGGGCAACGGACAGTAATGCATTTAACGAAGCAGCTATAGTTAAGCGGTGAAACCCAAAGCTTCACCGATTGTCAGTTCTATCAAAGGCTTCCGTGTCATGCGCGCGGTAGCGGAACAAAACTGGTATATCATACGGTGGGAGATGCGCACCCTATCAGAAGAGGAAACGGGTTGCATGTCACGGTTCTTCTATCTTTCAATTTTTGGCCGGCTACAACGCTAACGACAAGATGGGCTCTGTTCATGATAGCATCATTTGGTCACCATTAATATCTATCTTGGAATTATTCCAGCAACAGTATCAGTATTATTCCAACTCGCAGTGTGTTTCAGAGCTGGTGGCGGAAAGGTTGGCTCAGGAACTGGACAGGGGTAGGTGCCACTTGCAATTTCTTAAATTCGCACTCGAAATTTAACTCTATCAATTGAGAAAGCAAGTGTAGAGGCTGTTGCTGTCACAAACCTTCTTCTAACACATCTATACTCTGCTAACTATGAGTTGAGTAGGAGTCGTCTGCATTACCAACAGAGTGGAAGTATAAATATGATGACAAGATTGAATTACAGTAATTGCATGGACTGAACAATGAGCAGAGCTTGTGGTAGACCAGCAGAATCGCCAACTATTCACATATAAGTCTATGGTAGAATGAGTTCATCTTCCTCACCTGATGATTCGCTCCATTCATTCTGGAAATGGTGGGATTTCTGGTCTAGCGCGCTGCCGGAGGGGTTCCTTCCGAGGTCTGCTGCATGCTGATGGAAGCGCACACCGCGATGTGAGGAATATGATAAAATTAGCCACGATTGGACAACACCAGAGAAACGGTGGGAAAAGTTTTGAATCGAAAGCTTCGAAGATATTTTTGTAACTATCACAAACGATGAGCTCCCTGCCAGAGGCAGAGGAGGAGCAGAGGGAAAGATATCGAGCGCCTGGGGCGCGGGCCGTGATGGGAGCCCGTTTGTGCTCATCGACGAAAACCTTCAAAGTTTTTTCAAAACGATTATGCCTTTATTCGAGACAACTTAGAACTAATAACTTGGAGTGTCAAAGGACCAAGCAGAGTGGGAATAGCGCAAATAAAATGCATAGGCCTAACTCAGCGGTAAACTAAACCTTAGTGACCGCTACATCTTTACCACACTTAGTTCCTTCTGTGGGGAAGTGAAAATCTATGTCAAATGCTATCCAAAATAGCATTCGGATAAAGTTCTACCTACCCTCTTCCTGTAACCTCGGCATGTCAGTTGCAAGTCTGATAAATTTCTCGTGCCTTACGGGGTTGTTTAGTGGAGCCTTTATTTCAGTGGCGTAACGTATCGAATGAATTATGAGGCCGCTGAAACAGAGGTCTAAACGTGTTTCAAGCACTACTCTTACCCCTCGAGAAGATCAGAACAGTGCGAGAAATGAACTCCCCGTCAGTTCCACTTTCTGCCAGATGAGAAATCCGCTGCCACACAGAGCGCTAGTCATTTATAATCGAAGAATTCATACTATCTCCTTATATCAAAGATAGTCAGGTGTCAGAAATGTTGAGCGAACAGAATCACGACAGCTTTCCGTGAGAATAGGCGGTGCAAATGGCTTCACGGCACCACGTCCTAGAATACGGCAGCATGTTGGCCCGCGAGAGGTACCACGTCGAAATAAACTGCCCCTTGTGCATCCCTTTCATATCGGATAAAGTTAGCACTGCCATCCATCGGTGCATAATAAGAGCCCAATTGCAGGAAGATGTCCAGTTGGTGAATATTCCCAACGAAAACATCAAACGGCAATTGGTTCGTAACAGACTTTATGACAAGCAGTGCATATCCGAAAATTGCGTTATCTGCCCGCATGGAAAACTTGGAGATTGTGCTCATCTTGGAGCAATATATGAGATTAAATGTCAGGCATGTAACGCTACGTACATAGGGGAAACAGGAAGGGTTTTAGCAATTCGTATCAAGGAACATCTTGCTAATTTGAGACGCGGTACTGTGACAACACCTTTGGGAACGCAAAAGGTTGAGGAGCAAAATGGGAATGAATCACTTCATTGTATAAACCACAACTTTGGTGTGTCGGTTTGTCGGTGTGTGTGTCGTTCTGTCCGTCCGGACCAACCGCTAACAAAACCGGGAGTACGAAGGGCAACACATTGTGATGTTGATGTCATGATCATGATAATACCTAACCAACCTAATATTTATTCAAACGAGATCACATTGTGTCAATGTGTCGTTTCATATCTTCTGCAAGTTTCTCCCAGGATTGACCCAAAGGGGTCCTGCCATATCAATCTTGGCATGTGATCGTTTCCATTGCCATGCTCGCCATTCACTGATTATCTTCGTCCACCTATTATCTTCTTTCACTAGTACTTCCTTCGCCTCACATCCATTTTCTTCTGGCCGCTCGCACCGCTTAATCTGGGACTTTGATGATGCTCTCTACCCAAACAGTGGTACGATGATCTAAAAGAGTTGTACCTATCATCTCCCGTATCATTCTTCCTTGTGCCACTTTCAACAGCTTTTCTCTTCAGCGTCCAAGTCTCACAGCCATAAAGTATCGATGGTTCCACACAAGTTTCGTAATACGCGACGTTTAAACCTCATTGGGACCTCTTCTATTAGTGAGGAAAGAGCTGAGGCGATTGAATGCGTTCCATCCTGCTTGGATCCTTCTTTGTATTTCTACTGTGTTGTTCGCATCGAAGGAAAACTCTTTTGTCAAGGTAGATAAAATTTGTACAGTATTCAACATCGTGTCCATCGATGGTAATGGGTTGAATCACGGAGCTGGCCATGACAGTAGCTTTCGAGAAATTGATCTCAAGTCTCACGGTTTAACATCTCTGGTGAACTTCTTCTAACAAACGCTGAAGTTTTCGGCTGTCGTGCGCGATGATTGCGACATCGATTGCATTTCCACAGGGGTGACAAAAAAAAGGAGACACTTCGCTCCACATTCAAAACGGAATTATTTACGCGTTGCGAAACCAAACCAAATGATCCCAACTGAATATTAAAGAGCACGTTATAATCAAGCTACACAACAGCCTTCTACACCGACGACATCAGAAGATTTTCCCACGGCATTGTGCACGGTACGAGCTCAACGAGGTCGTCGAGATACCATAGACGATTACGACGTCTCTGAAACGCTGGTCAAAAGCGGTTTTGCATAGTCACAGCTAATGTGGGAAGCTATTCAACAGTTAATCCATTGAAGAAATTATGTAGCAGCTTCAGGCCGGAGCGATTACGGTAAGCCTCGTTGAGCTCGACGGTGACGGCAGATGACGTCATATTCTGAAGACGGCGGGGGCAGTGAAGGAGGGCCTGCTTCTGTTTACGGGGGAACACCTAAGGAATATTCCGCCGTAAAACTTTCATTAACATCGGCATCCTGTGCGACGAAAAGTTCGATGATGTGCGCCATGGGCAAAGTGTCTCTTTTTTTGGCCACCCCTGTATGATGATTGAGATAACATCCATTCATGCTGATCCCTTCTTCGTACCAATTGATATTTCGGGATACAGTTTCCAGTGCAGCAGCTAAAGTGCGGGTGAGATAGGGTCTCCTTGACGGACGCCTCGTCTCATTTTGATTGGCTTCACGTGGCCACATATCTTTACATTTACAATGGCGGACTCATATATGTTTGAGAGAAGGCGGACGATTTTCGGGTGAACCCCTTGACAACACAGCGATTTCCACAGAGCATCGTGTTCTATAGAGTCAAACGCTTTGAGATAGTCGATGAAAGCAATGTACAGAGGGACAGCCTTTTCTATTAAAGCAGTTCCTCCGTACATTGCTCTGTTCTAAGATGATTGATGACGTGGATGTGGTCGTCAGTAGAATGAGCTCTGCGGAAGCCGGCTTGATCAACAGGCTGTCTTGTCTTTAAGAAAATTATCTTCCGCTGCCCAATGATTGAAATGAACATTTTGTAGATCGTGGGAAGTAGAGCGATGGGACGAAAATTTCGAGGATTTCGAGGAAGAGGATTTCCTTTCTTGAATAGAAGCGACATTGATGATTCGGATAAACTTGTAGGCAGTTTTTCATTTCTGAGAAAGTCATTGAATAGTTTTATTAATGGTTTCCAGTATATGATATGCTGCCATCAACATTTCAACGGTTATGTGGTCAGGTCCTGGTTTTTTCCCTAACTTCATCGTATTGATAGCATGTTCGATATCACTGGACGAAATTGGCGGCAATTCTTCAGGATCCTTTATTCGTAGGAGAGTGGTGATGGCTCGCGTTGTCGAATAAAACAGTTCGTTGTAGAATTCTTGAAAAAATGCGAAAGCAGTAGGCGTTTCTGCGATGGAGCCGCCATTCCTTTTAGGTCTTGTTAAGGTCGTTTTGTGATTTCTGCTCCCTTTGTAATACTCGGATAGCCTTCAACATAGCCTCTTGTAGGCGCAGAAGATGTTTCCGCTCGAGGTCAGATTTCAAAAAGAGACGTAATAACTTATTGTTCATGGAGAACTCGATTGTATTTCTTGCTGAGTGCTGCTGCAAGGAGACGCCGTATTTCGAATAATTACCTTGTAGTTTCAGAAAATGGGACCTTTTCAGAAGTTGCGACGTAGCAGGATCAGCGGCCGCTTTTATTTCACTTTTCAAGTCTTCGTAATTGTCAAAAACACTATTGGAAACAAGGCGATGTGAGTTGCGGAGAAGACAGACTTATTGAAGTTTGCAGTGGTCTTGAATTTCCTGGGATATCGATGATGTTTGCTTTCTGGACGAATCTTAGCCATAACAAGTCGATGATCACTAACGAATTTGAATCGACCGATGATATCAACATCTCACGATAAGAATATGGATTGGTCGGATAATATCAATAGCACGAAATCAATAGCATTCTTCTTCTGCATTTTGGCTAAAATCCCCGACTATTATCTGGATTTTCTCTTCTAGAAATAGTTTTTCATCACATGGAGTTTATTCAGAACAGAAGTCCGCAAGGATGTTCCCTTTTTCGTTTCGTGCTAGGCCGTATTCGCCGACGAACTTCTCATTCTTCTCCCCGCTTCCGATTTTGGCATTGAAGTCGTCTACTACAATTTTGTTTAGGTTTCGCTTTCTACGTGGAGAAGTTGAAGTTTGGTAGTGAAAGCGTGCACCAAGAGCTTGAGAAATCTGTTCGAGAAATTCTTGATATTCACTACCCGAATAAGCAGTGATTGGTGCACACCCTTAAACAACTCGAAGATTTTTGACTCCCATTGTGACATCAGCATGGGAAACTCTTTCCGAAATAACAGAACGAACAAAATTTCCACTTTTCGTTGATCAGGAATCCTGTAGAACTCGGAAAGTAGATTGTGTGGCCAGATCTTAAGTTCAAGGAAAGGCTCCCTCTCTTCTCTATGTGCCAGGAAGAAAATTCACGCGAATAGAATCCTCGTTAATTTCGTGAATTCGTTATAACTCGGTTCAAAATTGAGCTTTCGAGAATCCGAAGATATCTTTGAATTCAGCTCGTCGGACACTATAAGAATGTGCTTTGATACTTTGGAAAAGCTCCATATAGGATTGCGCCATGCACTCGATTTTCATCTCAAAAAGTAGTTGCTCGCAT